GATAGATAAGTCTGTTGTCGCCAATCTAATTTAAATAAAATTCAATTTCATTTTATCGCATCTTCTCGAGTCGAAAAATTGTCATTTTTCCATTTCTGCAAATTTTAATATACATTTCAAGAAAATTCAATATTATAATTTATAAAAATAATATATAGGTATAAAGGTATAGTTTAGAAAAAATATTCCGAACATAAAAAAAATAAATTATAAAAAAATAATAATTTATACCAAAACTATACAATTTTAGATTCTTTGATTATTTGGTAATTTATTAATCATTTTAACAAAAATAATTAATAAAAACAAATAAAAAATGTATAATAAACAAAGAAATTAATACAGTTTTTTATCATTTATAATTAAAATTTAATTTATTTACCGTTATGTCTATAAAGTAATTAATAAAATAAAAGACAATTATCATTCATAAACAAATCATTAACAATTGTAATAAAACGAATAATATAATTTGACGTACATAATAATAACAACAATACATATCATTAAAATGTAGTTCATAAAATTTGTCCTCTATTTCAAAATGCGTATTTTTAGGAAATTTAAGCTGTAAAATGACACAACGTCACGTAAACGTAAAACACATGAATGACGTAACTTTATGAAATGACTATTAAGCAAGGGATTGTAAACAATTATGTTACCATAATATAACCGCGGATATTTCAATAACTACGAGCAAAATATGAAAATTGAAATTCTACAAAGTTAAATAATTTCCCTTCTATTTTTGTTTCTTTCTCCTATTTTTTACTATTATTTTTTAACAGAAGAAATAAAATGTAAATAAATTTTTCAATTTCAAATTTAATATAAAAATGATGTGAAATTAAAAGCTCATTTATATTTATTATAAACGTGGATATTTGTAATTCTTGACTCAGAATTAATGAAACATTCATCACTTACGCATCACATAATTGTTAATTACAAAATTTAAAATTAACTTGATTTTTTGAGGGGGATATTAATTAAAAACAACTCAGCGCACAGATTAAAACACGAGGAATCATGAATATTCAAAAATAAATTTTATCCACCCAAAGTAATTACAGAGCGTATAGTTAAAATTCTTCTTTAGAAGATAAAAAAAGTGAAAAATACCTACCATGAGTAAAGAAAATTTCAAAAAACTAGATTTTTTTTCTTTGAGGTAAATCGTTTCTTAATTTTTAAAAAAATTATTCAATACTGTTATATTAATTGTATTTACATTAATATTAATATTAAATAATAATTAAATGTATAATTAATAATAATAAAAAAATTCTGAAAAGAAATTAATATCAATAAATACTATTATTATTATTAATAAATAATATATTTATTAATATTAATTTTTATAATTAATAGCATTCAATATTAATTAAAATTCTTTAAATATTTAATATATTTGTCTGACGAAATCTAGTTTTCTTCACTTGAAGAATCACTTTAAGTAGTAAAGGGCAGTTTTAGTCAGACATTTTTGTAGCAGTAAATAAAATTTACTAAAATATTTTATTTATTTGTCTGACGAAATCTAGGCTTCTTCACTTAAAAAGTGACTTTAAGTAGTAAATGTCAATTATAGACAGACATTGAAGTTGACATAGTTGATAAAAATTTATTTAAAAAATTTAATTTATTTGTCTGATAAAATCTAGGTTTCTTCACTTGAAGAATCACATTAAGTAGTAAAGGGCAGTTTTAGTCAGACATTTTTTAGCAGTAAGTAAAATTTATTGAAATATTTAAAATATTTGTCTGGCGAAATCTAGGCTTCTTTACTTAAAGAGTGAATTTAAGTAGTAGACGTCAATTATAGTCAGACTTTTCAGTTGACAGACGATTAATACAGGTTTATTAAAATATTTAATTTATTTGTCTGACAAATTCTAGGTTAACTCACATAAAGTGTGAGTTTAAGTAGTAGACGTCGATTTTTGTCAGCCATTGAAATATTTACTTTATTTATATAATAATTATAATATAATATAATTTATTGAAATATTTAATATATTTTTCTATCAAAATCTAAACCTCTCCACTTAGAGAGTGATGTTAAGTAGTAAATGCTCGTTTAAGTCAGACATTAAAACAGCATCTCAAATATTCAAATACTTGACTTGAATAATATTCAATATCAATTGAAAAATATAGATGCTTTAAAAATTTTTTTGGCATCAAAATTTTTTTTAAATCGAACATATATACATATATATATATTTGTATAGATAATAAAGTTGTTTTATTGTGTGGATGTATATAATCCCTGTCAGTAAAAGAAGCAAAAGAGACGAATTTTTAGTGAAACAGGAAGACTTGAACCGGAAAAAGAAGCCAATTTATAACTTATACTTAGAATCTTGAAACATGTTAAACTTTTTTTTTATGCATGTGATCCTCAAGTTTTATCTCTTTCTTTTTTGCGAAAAGAGTATCACATTCCTGTTATATGAAACATAAAACTAAAAGTTGCCTTAACTTTTTATCAGAAATTATTTTCAAACTATAGTCTTTGAAATTGTTTTTCAACTTGAAAAATAACTTCTTCTTCTTCTTCTTCTTCTTCTTTTTTTTCACTGTTACATAAAAGAACGTCTTCTAAACTTTTTGATATCAAGAAAATTTCCTTCTCAATTTATGCAGCCTCATTATTTTATCATAACAATAAAAAATTTAAACTAATTAACTGGACTTTAATGTTTTTTAAAATTTTTTTAATTAAGAATTCTATATTGATTTTTAGATTAATTACAGTGTTATATAATTTCTTCTTCATCTTATTTTATTATTTACATTCAGTACCAGTTGATAACAAGTGAAATATGAGTCTTACCATCTGTGTACAAAAAAAAATTTATAAGTATAGGAACTAAATATAAGTAAAGTAAATAAATACAGAATCAAATAAAGAAAATTTTGCATTTCGAATTATATTTTTGACAAACAATATTTAAATTTTAACACTGTATTGTAGACATTTGTAAACATTACAATCTGAATTGTAAACATTTTAATCTATGTGGTAAACACTACAATCTGTATTGTAAATATTACAATATGTATGGTAAACATTACAATATTTATGGTAAATATTACAATATGTATGGTAAACATTACAATATGCATTGAAAAATTACAATCTATATGGTAAGCATTACAATCTATATTGTAAACATCACAAATATATGTGGTAAACATTATAATCTGTATTGTAAAAAATTACAATCTGTATTGTAAAAATTACTAACTGCATTATAAATGTTACAATCCATGTTGTAAACGTCACAATATCTATTGTAAACATTACAATGTATATTGTCAATATTTCAATCTGTATTGTAAATATTTTTAATTATTGCATTTCAAATATTAATTTTGATCTGTCCTGTAAACATTTTTTTTTAATATTAAAAATATCCCATTTTGATTGTAAATATTTCTTTTATACAATTTGAACAGTAAATAAACTTTCGAAAATTATGCATTTCAAAAGTTAATTTCGATCTACATTATAAATACTTTCTTTTTGAGTTGTAAACATTACACTTTATTGAAATATAAAATTTTATTCGAAAAATTTTACTTTTCATTGCAACTATTTTATTCTGTATTATAAATTTTACACTTTATGTTGAAAGTATTATAATCGTTAGTAAAAGTATTTAATTTTCTATGGTAAATATTATAGATTATACTGTAAGTATTTCGATCTATATTGTAAATTTTAGAGTTTGTATTGTAATTATTTAATTCTGTATTTATTTATTTATTCAGAAAATTTATTCTGTATTGTAAAAAATATATTATTTAATGTAAATATTTCAGTCTTTATTGTAAATATTTTATTATTATTATAAATATTTCAATATCGATTGTAAATATTATTATCTGTACTGTAAATATTTAATATTTAGATTGAAAATGGAACCTACTTTGTATTGTAAATATTGGAATATTCACTATACGAACTGTAGTATTGTAAATATATCAATTCTAACTGCAAATATTATAATTTGTTCGAAATATATTTACTTGTTTTCGTAAGTATTTTAGTCTGAGTTGTTAATACTTACAGTTTGTACTGTAAATATTTCAGTCTATGGTAAATATTAAAATCTGCCTTGTGAACGAAGTCGGTGAAGAAAATCAACGATCGGAAGAAAAAAATACTTTTCACTCTAAAAATATTTACCTTTTCTTTACAAATTTTTATTTTTCAATTTATTTGCAAAAAAAGTACCTATTGTAAAAATTTCTTTTTGCCAAAAGTTCAATGAAAAAAATATTTGTTGGACAAAAATTTCATGAAAATATATTTTTTCTATTAAACTGTTGAATAAAAATGTTGTGAACGTTACAATTTTTATTTTAGATATTACAATCTGTATTTATTTATTTATTTACTATTTATTCATTCTTTTTTTTACTTTTTTTCTTTTTTTATTCATTTTTATGTATTGTAAATATTGCTATTTTTGTTGTAAATATTTTAATCTGTATTGTAAGTATTTTACTATGTATTGTTAATATTACAGTTTTTGCTTTGCATATTTCATCTGAATTTTAATTTTTATGGTAAATTACATAAAAATTATTTTTTAAATTCTACACCTTATAGTAGAAATTGATAATAATGATTGATATTCTTACAATAATGATTGAAATTTAAAAAATAAATATTCTATAGAATATTATTTATAATATTTTAATAATATTATTTATATAATATTTTTTTATTTTATAATTATTTGTTGAAAGGTTTATAAACCTTGCAATAAATAATTGTGAAAAAGAAAATGTATAAAAAATAAGAATATTGTAAATAAAAATTTTGAAAATCTAATAATAAATATTTATTTATTCATAATAATTGCAATTTTCATAATAAATATTGTAATTCTTACAGTAAATATTGTAAACTTTCCAATCTGCCTTGTAAACATTACTTCGAAACTGTGATAAAAAAAATTTAATATAAACTGCATTCAAACCTTTTGAATCTCATCGTCAAAATAGTTCATGACGAGCATTGTCCAAGAATCATGTTTCTAATCTTTCGAGTTTGTGATTCGCAGCATCCAAGTCACGTGTTCTCTTACTCTCGTTGAAAAAAAAATTTTTTTTAATCAAATTCTCCTATTTCATTTTCTCCATCAATTGTTAAAAAAAAGGAAAATGGAGAATTTTTTTTTTGTTTTTTTTTTCTTTGAAATGAGGGATAATATCGAAGAAGATGAGTAAGATTGAGAGTTAAGTTCTAGTGACCGGCATGAGAGTCGGTGGCCACGGTGTTTTAGAATGACACGCACGAGGCAGGAAGTCACGATCGTCCGGCCACGGACGAATCAGATTCGCGGATGGTGTGCGTGTACACGAGTGGTGACGACACGACACGAGCGACCGATCCGTTAGGCAAAACACAAAAACGGCGCGCATTTCACGAGGTGTCGCGAAGAACTGAAGCACAACATGGAAATTTCAGGTGCGCACGCGCATCAAAATTTATCAGAGGGAGAGAGGTGAAACCCTCTCGAACTCCACGAGGGTTCTGTGTGTGTATGACGTCTCTTGCTCTCTCTCGCTTTACTTTTTCAGATGAAAATTGAACAGAGAAGAGCGCGCGCAAGCTTTCTCTCTCCTCCTTCTGTTCCTTCCCGGGATTTTATCCCGTGTGCGTAAAATCAACAATTTTCCTCAACATTTTCCAAACCTCGTCACTGTTTCTAGGTTCATGCGTCACGAATATGTAATTCACCTTCTTTGCATTCCAAATTTTTATTCATTTTTTTTTTTATTTTTTGTTTTTTTGCTTTTTTTACTTTTTATTAAAAGTGTTATTTCCAACCAGATATGTAAATCATATAGAAAAAAGTAACTTCTGATGTCTTTAATTTTCATCTGTACAAATCAAAAGATTTTTCGAATTTTTTTATTTTAAAAAGTGGGAAAAATGTAAAAAACTATTTTATAAAAACTCTAGGTACTTATATATCTTAATTTTTAATATTGAATTTATTTGTCTAACAAAATCTAAGCTTCGTCACAGCTAATAAAACTTAACTAAAATATTAAATTTATTTATTCGAAAAAATCGAGGCTTCTTCACTTTCAGAATAGACGTCAAGTAGTAGAGGTCAATTTTAGTGAGACCAGGGTTTCCAGGCTAAAAAACGAAATTTTTACAGGTTTTTAAAACTACACTTATTATTTACCAAAACTAAATCTTACATTTATTTAAGAATTTCTGTAATTGTAAAATTAATCGAAACAATCATCAATTATTATTTTTCCATAAGAATTAAAATTCTTCAAAACATTCAACATGATCAAGAGATATAATAATTATTTTATATTATAAGAATCATGTTACTGTAACTTTTTCAAAATTATTTTTATATTCAATTATAATCTAAAATTTTAACTGAAATTCATTTTTAAATCAATTTTTATTTGAAAATTCTACGAGAATTCAATTATTTAAATACAAAAGTAAATTATTTATTGAATAATTGAATGTTTCATAAAATTTAATTCTTATAAAGAATTTTATTAACAGATTTTTAAATAATTAAATTTTTTTGACGAATTTTAATAAAAATTTTCAAAATAGTTACATTTTTCAAGAAATTTGATTAAAATTGTATTAAAAATAATTGAAATTCTTCGATAAGCTTTATTATTTATGAAAATAATTGAATTCTTGAGAAATATATCCTTACAATTTTTATAAAAAAAAAACTCTGGCTCTAAGTATTTTCTTACAATTTTTAAAAATAATTGAATTTCTGAGGAGAATATTATTATTTTCTAAATAATTGAATTGAGGCAAAAAAATGTATTACAAATTTTAAAAGTAATTTGATTTCCTGCGCAGAACTTTATTATTAATAAAAATAATTGAAATCTGGAGAAGAATTTTATTGCTTTTAATGTTTTTTGAATAATTGAATTGCCAGCGAAGAATTTTACCAAAATTCAAAATTTTCTTATGAATTTTAAAAATTAATTAAATTTCAAGAATAATCACAATAACTTTAGAAAACAACAATTTTCCAGGATTCCGATCAAAATTTCGTGACTTTTCCAGGATTTTTTAAGAATTTTTCGCACTAGAGAATTGAAAGAAAAAAATTTTTAACTGTAAAATGAATTAATAAAATTATGATAAAAAATTTGTAAAAATTTTTATTTATTTAAAAAAATAGACAACTTTTAAAGATGACGTCAATTTATGTCAGATATTACAAAGGTAAATCTCTATTTACTAAAATATTAAATTCATTTACTTTTCTGTCAAAATCTGGGCTTCAAGAAAGACGTTAAGTAGTAAAAGTAAATTTTAGTCAGACTTTGGAAACAGTATATAATATTATTTTAAAAAACATTTAATTTATTTTAACAATTAAAGGAGCATTTAATTTATTTGTCTAATAATATTTGGACTTCTTCACTTTAAGAGTAATTTTAAGTAGTATAGATCAATTTTAGTCAAAAATGTTTACATCAGTAACTAAAATTTCCTAAAATATTTAATTTATTTGTTTCATAAAACTTATATTAATTCACTTAAAGTTATTTAGAGTTAGGTGCATTAAGTAGAAGACGTCAATTTAAGTCAGTCATTGAAACAGTTAATAAAAATTTAATGAAATTATTTTGTCTGACAAAATCTAGGCTTTTTCACTTAAAGAATGACGTTAAGTAGTAAAGGCCAATTACAATCGAACAATGAAATATCAAATAAAAATTTACTAAAATATTGAATTTATTTGTCTAACAAAATCTAAGCTTCGTCACTTACAGTGTGACACTAAGTAGTAGACGTCAATTTCAGTCAGACATTGAAATTGAAATAGTTAATAGAAATTTATTGAAATATTTGTTTAATAAAATCTAGACTTGTTCACTTAAGGAGGCTTTTTCCCTTAAAAAGTGATATTCAGTAGTAGACGTCAATTTTAGTCAGACATTTTGAATAGTGAATAAAAAAATTACTAATATATTTAATTTATTTCAAAAATTAAAAAAATATAAAATTCGTTTATCTTTAGTTTGTCATACAAACTTTAGGCTTCTTCACTGCAAGAATGACATCAAGTAGTAGTTCTCAATTTCAGTCAGACATTAAAATAGCTAATAAAAATTAACTAAAATATTAAATTTATTTGTTCGATAAAATTGAAGCTTCTTTACTTCAAAATAGACGTCAAGTAGTAGAGGTAAATTTTAGTCAGACATTGAAACATTTTATGAAAATTTACTTAAATATTTAATTCAATTGTCTGACCAAATCTTGTCTTTTTCACTTAAAGAGTGTTATTAAGTAGTAGAGCTCAATTTTAGTCAGACACTATCGAATTTACTTTAAATTTCTTTAAAACTATCTTAAAGTTTTTTACAATATATTATTTATAAATGATAATAACATTAAATTATTTTCAAAAAAAAAAAAAAACAAATCTTTGTAGGTATGTAAATTTCAACAAAAATGTTTAATAAATTCAAGGAATAAGTAAAATTTCAATTTTCTTATTTCATACTATGAAATAACTTTTTAATCACTTAAAAATTTTCCAAATCGTCTAACCGAATCATTATCGTTTCTTTTTAAACACTTAAGTTGAGAGTGATAATTTACGTCATGCGTCACGAATATAATTCTCATTCTTGAAAATATATATGAAAATTCACTCCTGTCGCACAAAAGCAGTGTCCTAGATTTCCCTCAACTGACACATATTGTTTTTAATTAAGAATTGAGAAATGTACTTTTATAAAGATTGTTTCCTTGATTCTTCAAGTGCTTCATTAAAAAGGGAGAATATTCTTTATCTTCTGTAAAAAAAAATTTTATTTTCACAATTTTTTTTTGTTTCCATTTTTCATACTCTTTTCCGAGTACCAATTTTACGACTGCTCGTTATTTGTGTACAATAATTATAATTTTAATGCCGTTACCTCATATATCTATTTCGAAATTAATTCTACAATTATTATTATATTATTATTATTATTATTATTGTTTTTATTGTTTATTATTTTTTCTTGTTTGAGAAATGTTTATTATTAAATTATTGTTATTATTAAAATTATTAAAATACTTTTTTTATTTTTATTATTAATATTACTATTGTTACTATTGTTTATATTATTATTGTTATTACTACTATTGTTACTATTGTTTTTATTATTATTTTTATTAATATTTTTATTAATATTTTTAGTATTGTTATTGCATTTTTACATAATTATATTCTCCAAAGAGGATTAATTTATTTTAATTGCACCTTTTATACATGTATACATATACAATTCAATGTTATGTCAAACAATAAAAAACTGTTTTTGTTCAAAGAAAAGTCATTAAACGTGCGATAATATAAGAAGTGCTCCAGGGAATGTTATTTAAATTTTCGAATTTAATTTCACTCACTTGAAAATCAGCAGAAATGTATAATTATATTATTTTTTAATTTTTTTTTCTTTTTTTTTTTCTCAACAAAACAAAAAATTAATTTCAAATGAAAAAGGAGAAAAAATTAAAAACTTTTCGTAATAAAAAAAAGGGGGATGTGAAAAAAAATTGAATACAATTTTTAACTTTCACGAAAGCATGAACGGATTGCAATTCTAAAATATAATAACTTTGCTGACCTTTCGATACACTAAAAGGGCAATGGAACATATTATTCTTGAAAATCTCACCCTCGAATGTATCAATAAAAAAAAGATGATGGCATTTTGAAATTTCAGGGAAAAAAAGTTATTTCGACTGTAAAATGACATTTCCTATTACACAAAAGGAGGGTGCGTGGAACAGAGAAAAAAAAATTTGAAGGAATTGAAAAATTTTACTTTGCTAAAATACTTTTTTATATTGGGCCAAGTTTTAAAATCAATATATAGGAGAGTAAAAAAAATTGTTTTAATGATTAATAATTTTTACAGTCGTCTAAATTTTTTTTTCTTTTATTAACTCTTTTTTTAATACGTCAAAAAAATAAAGGAAACTAATTTTTTCAAATGACATTTATCGTTTTATCTCACAATTTATTATTCCAAATAATCATCAAATTCGCTTTGATATTTTGACTAGTTGTGGAAAATGTTTGTTTAATTAGTTTGATTTACTGTGAATTACTTTTAGTATTGTTTCTGTACAAATACGCAAATGAAATTATTTCTCTAGTAATATTATTATTACCATTATTATTATTATTTTTTTTATTATTATTATTACTATTTTATTTATATTCTATTACTATTATCATTATTAATTTAATAAAATAAAAAAAAAATAATAATAATATATAAAATAAAATTATTGTTACGATTGTTACTATGTGGGATTAACTATATGCAATATAAAATTTAAATATATTGATTAACAACTCAAATAACTCAAAAAGTTGTTTATAATTTACATTTTATTACAGTTTATTGCGCTGTAAAAGTAAAATTAAACGTGAAATTATAGCCTCATTTTAAATTGAATAACTGTAATTACCGATAAATTAATTGTAAATAGATTGCTTAACTACCTCCTGCTTTGTTAAAATACCATATACACGCAATCGCTTTGAGATTCATTTTCTATTAATTACATTCGTCTGTTTAATTACAATTTTACCTCGATTACTTAACTGTAATAATAAAAATCATAGAATTAATAAAATTAATAAAATAAATAAAATAA